TGTTGATTTATTTTGGTACCTTGTAAACCTAGTGTTAGATCCTCACATCTACCATTTTTGATAATCTTCTCTCCATTACCAATTTGAACTCTGTATCCAGTAATGGTGTGTATGCTTAGTCCCAATTGATCCACCAACCTCTGTGATATAAAATTGTGGGTAGCCCCACTATCAATGAGTACTTCAACCTCTGTCCTCCCTGCAGCCCATTCTAAACTCCCTTTTACCTTGAAAGTCCTTATAGAAGGTATCCCTTCCTTACTCATAAGAGACAGCTGCATTGACTTAAATTCCACGGTGGTTGCTTCTTTAGCTGCCATTTCCGCTTCTGCACCTTGTACTTCTTCCTCACTATCAAAATCTTCCACCAGTATTAGTTTGTAATTCTTTAATTTGCAGGTATGTTCTTTGTTCCATTTTCCCCACACTTAAAGCAAAGTCCCTTCGTGCTCCTGTCCTGATATTCTTCCTGTGACAGTTGTGGCCCCACCCTTCTAATATCTGAGGGAGTTATTTCTGTCTCCTTCTTCCCATTTTAGGTTTAAATCCTTCAGTCCATGCTTGTGATTTAACAGCAGCAGTTCCCTTATCCTTCCGAGGTAACCTGTCTTCTTCTTTGCTCTTCGGATATATTGCTTCATTCCTACTCTCAATTAGTAGAGCTATGTCCATAATTTCAGTCAAGGATGTTGAATTATGTAGTTTAAGTTCAGCTTTTATCTCCTCCTTCAAACCATTAAGGAAAATTCCCTTAAGGATCTCCATATCCACATTGATTTGAGGAGCAATCACCATTTCAAACTCATCTCTACACTTCTGAACAGTTCCAGTTTGCTTCAAGCTAAGCATGGATCCATAAGGATTCTGAATCAAGTCTGACTGAAACCTACGTATAACAGAAGCCTTCAGATTCTCCCAATTTTTCCTTTCCGCCCGATGTTCCCACCAAATGAACCAATTCACAGCCCTACCTTCCATCGCAACTAATGCAGCTTCCACCTGTTCTTCTTCATTAATTTGATTCAAACGAAAGTATCTCTCCATCCTTACAATCCAATTATACGCACCTTCCCCATTAAATACAGGTAAATCAATTTTCCTCCGTGTATATACTGGAAATGCTTCCATCATTTGCAATGAGGCCAAAGATTCATTATTTTTTGGCTTGAGATTATGATGGAATAAAGCAAAATGGCTCACTAAACTGTCTGCGCTTCTTTGTTATGAAAGCAGCAGTCAGTCCATGCAATTTTGGACGGGATTTTCACTATGGGTCATCCGGAAACAGTCTCTCTGTGCTTTAGTACAGGGGTAAGACTGCGTACATCCGACCCTCCCCCACCGTAGGTGGGAGCCTTTTCGGCACTGGGGTAAATGAAAATGAAAATGATATATATATACTGGAAATCTATGACTATCCTCGGTCTTTCTGTGATTTTGGATGTAAGAGTGGATTGGATTACCTCCTGAAGTAATCGAACTATTAGATCTTCGTATGTGTGGTCGTCTTTGCGATCGCGATCTCCCTTGATCGCAGTTGTTCATTCATGGCTGCCATCGATGCCGCCATATTCGTCATCAAATTTTCCAGAGCAATACGCTGATTCTCCACCACTAAGCGTAATCCTTCTTGTACCTCCAACAAAGTCCCTCGCATCTCCGCCTTATTCCTTTCCACCGTATCTATGCGAAGCTCCATGTTCGCTCTGGTCCTTACCATCCACCGCTGAACATAAGTATTGCTGAGGTCGCCGAACACTTCCGATCACCAAGATCGAGTGCTCTGATACCAATGATAGAAGGTAACAATTCACGAGCACAAGTTTAACAGATCAATGAAAACTGTAATGAAGAAGATCAACGATGTTTATTGAATGGGAAGGGAATACAGGTCGTATACAAGCCTTGGGACTGTTCGAGAAGCCCACTCCAAGCCAAAAGCTAACTGATAACAACCTACCTTATTTAGCTACTCCCACATCTATTTATAGTTAATACTCCCGTAAGGATAAACTACTAATATAGCCCATAACCCTTTCCCTACTATTAATATTTCAGGCCCACTTATTATTATCTATGATAATAGACCCACTTATTATCTATTCCTAACAGTGTGACACTTCTTTTCTAACCGGAGCCTTGATCAGAAACCATTGACAGACTCACCTCACCTGAGTGCCTTCTGCCATCTTTGCTAGCTATTTTGAGGTATCGATATTGAAAGTCTCACTCGTTCTTTCTCTAGCAAGGCACGGATTCCAAAATGTGTTAAAGAAGCATTGTCTCACCTTGAATGGCGTAATATCAACATAGAGGAAATGAATGTTTTTGAATCTTAATGGCACTTGGAATTTGGTGGTCTTGCATACAGGGAAGAAGTCTATTTGATGTAAGTGGGTCTTTATTATTAAGATTAATCCAGACAGATCCATTGCTCGGTTAAAAGATTGACTAACCGCTAAGGGTTATGCTCAAACCTATGGTGTTGAATATTCTCACACTTTTCTCTTATTGCTAAATTGACATATGTTGGGTTACTTATTTCACTTGTCCTGGCTCATCATTGGCACTTACACCAATTTGACACCAAAAATTCATTTCTGCACAGTGATCGTTACGAGGAAGTGTATATTGAGAAACCTCCAGGATTCATTGCTCACGGGGAGTGTGGGAGAGTTTGCTAACTTTGCAAGTCTCTTTATGACTTCAAACAAAGTCCGTGTGCACGGTTTGGAAACTTCAGTCAATCAATTGAGCAATACGGAATGGTGAAAGGTCAATCGGATCACTTTGTCTCGACAATCGAAAGCATGTATTACCTTAGTTGTGGTGTATGTGGATGATATTGTGATCACAAGGAATGATGAGGCTGACATTTCAGCCAATAAGACATGATTTCATAGCCAATTACACATAAAAGATCTCGGCTCATTGAAATACTTACTGAGTATTGAGGTTACACGAAGAAAGAAAGACATTTTTCTATCTCAACGTAAATATGTATTTGACTTACTAGCTGATACAAGGATATTGTCATATTAGGGGAAAACTGAGCAATACATCATGGTTCCCAATGTGCAAGTCACTGATGAAGGTATATGTCATTCAAAGATCCAGAAAGATATATAAGATTGGTTGGAAAGTTTAATTATCTAGAAGTTACCTGTTTACACATTGCTTACTCGGTGAGTGTAGTGAGTTAATATATGTCATCATCGACAGTTTATCATGGGATAACTTTAGAGAATATATTATGTTAAATGAAAGAAATGTCAGGACAAGATATTGTTTATCAAAACCATGATCACATGAGAATATAATGCTTTGCAGATGTTGATTGAGCGGATATAAAGATGATATAAGATATACATGCGGTTGTTCTGTCTTTGTCGGTGGTGACCTAGCCTCCTGGAAAAGTAAGTAGTAGAATGTGCTTTCCCGTTCTAGTGTTGAATCAGAAAATCGAGCTATGGCGCAATCGGCATGTGAGATAACATGGATAAACTATTTATAAAGTGAGATCAGATTGAAGACACCAATATCTGCTAACTTGTGGTGCGATAATAAGGTTGCTATACACATTGCCAATAACCCAGCATTTCAAGAGATGACAAAACATAGTAAGATCGAATGTCATTGTTTCGAGAGAAGATACAAAAAGGATTGATCCCTACAGGATATGTGATGACCGGAGATTTATACGCTAAACCACTGAATGAAATTCGAGTTGGTTAGTTATCTAACAAGACTAACAAGTTGGGCAAGATAAAATTTATTTTCCAACTTGAGGGGAAGTGTGAAAGATATTTGAATACACTTGATGTAGTACATTGTTATACACCCCACGGGTATCAACATCACGTAGAGGAACCTCCGCAATCGACTAAGGCAAGTCTAGTCAAGACCAATCCCAAAACCGGTCATCAAATTATCGAGATAAGCTCAAAAGCGTAGTCGAGGTCAGAGTCAATTCAGGTACAATGGCCGAGCCCAAGGTGGAATCCAACGTCGGATTCCCAAAGTTTACAGTGCAACGCCCGGTTACCACTCAGGCCGAGCCCAGTAAACCCGAGTTGGACCTCGTCATTTCTGGACTTAGCATCACATTAGCTGAGCTCCATCACATGGGTCGGGCTTCCCAACCTCTGAGCTTAGCATTTATATCTGAGGTAGGCATCTCAACATCTTGGCCGAGCCGAGCTCAGGACCTCGGACAAACATTGTGGGCTTTGTCATTTCAGCAGTTACATTCAACTAAAGGCAAGCATCAACAAAGGAAAAATCAACTCTAGCGCTAATGTCACCCATTATGTTACAGCAGCCAGCTGTCAGGCTCACATATGTGACTTATCCAGCCATTCTGTTACATAAAGGACAATAATTTGTACTGCCCATACCAATCAATCATATATTCTCTCACCAATTAACCTTACACTAGACTAGTTATTTTACTTGTTCCCCAAGTATTTCATATTACACTACAAATATTACATTCCATCTTGTGGAAAGGGATATAAAAAACTCTCCCTTTTTGCATAACGTTACTCTACCGGTTTTACTACTCAGTTCATACTTGGCATATTTTCTGTCTCACGCTCGGATTCTGCTATCCCCGGTCTTCTAAGACTATCAATACTATCTTCGTTCTTTTTAAGTTGCAACATGTGTGAATTTTACACTATCAAATGCTCTACTTTCGGGCTGTATCATTAGTGGTTTTTGTAGTTCATGGATAAAACCGCAACGTAACCACATACAGGCCGCAACAGACTGCACCAGGACCACAACACTATTTTTTTATTTTTTATTTCGTGAAAATGTAAAATTATTTCACGCCGCATTGACCTCAATACATATCGCAGTGGCCGCAATAGCCGCAACCGTGATCACAACACCAATTTAAAACAATGAGTCCGCATGACATGGCAGAGTTAAGGGTTTAAATTGCAACCAAATGTTACTGTAAAAGAAAATGTACGAAAAATAGAGCAGAATCTTACTTCAATAGGATTCTTGCGGCTTCCCGACACTCAGAGACTCGTCGATTATATCCTGGATTAGCTGTTAACGCCTGTTTGAGGCCAGAGAATGCCAACATTATCTTGTATGCACTTTGAAACTTTGTTTTCGGATGATCGTGTGATGTTGGGGGTTGTATTTGTTTGTACTCTCTGGTCTGCACATCCCGTCTAAGACTCTCAGACAGTGAAAAGTGAAAAATAGTATGCAGGTCCTTGAAGTTTGAAAATTCAACCCAGACCTCCAAAAGTAGTTTCATCGAACAGTGATCACAACATTTAGCAATTCAAGAAATCTGGTTTTTAGAATATAATCGTATTTCAATTCAACAATATGATTGATCCATTTAAAGCTTTTAACTTTTGAGCTCTTGAAAACCAAGTAGTTTCTCCTGAAATTACGTTTTGCTTGCAGCAAAATTTCTTTATAAATGATCCAAAATGGAGAACAAAAAATTCTGTGGCAAACAATATTTGGAGTATTCTCGCTCTCACACACGCGCGCACACACATCACCTTGCAATTTATACAAGTTAAACAGCCACGGCTTGAAAGCAAGATGGCTGATTGATCCAATATGCCATTTTCCAGACCAAAATATTCATTTTCAATTATTCTGCAAGTATGACAATCACATCAAAAGGTTAAAACTGCCTGAAATAGAGAACTTGCTAGCACGAACAGGCATAAAAGTGAGGACAAACTGATTTTAGAAAGTTACTTATGGAAAGAAACCAAGTTAATCTCAGGGCAACAAGCAATCACAGTTATTTCTAACTAGCAGAATAATTGAAATTGAATATTTTATCCTTATAAATTTATGTAGATACTTGACTATGTCTATGAATTCTTTTGATAGGGACAGGAACCATTTTATTATTAATCCCCACAGGAATTTTTTAAAGTGTATACCAGGCGGGGAAAGAATCCTAAATAAATAAAAAGGAAAAGGGGGTAACAGATTGCTGAGCTGGCTAAGGTAGTGGAGTGAAAAGAATAAATAGATGGGAGAATGTGAGAGTTAGGCAGGCTGGTATTCAGTTAGAACTTGGAGAGCAAGGCACTTTCGAATTGCCTAACCTTGTATTCCTTTTCTCTGATTCCTATTCACTGCCAGATCTTCTTTTCTATTATTCTGTGTTTAATTGTTCCATTAATCCCTTGTTTCTGTAATTTTGGGAGATCATTGGGAACCCACATTTGCTCCTGGACTCTTAAAAATGTTCTTGATTTGAACATAAAATGCACTTAACTGTGTGCCATGGAGGACAAATATTAACACAATGTCAATGGTCAGTGGAGCAAATCTGGTGTCATTTGAACTCAACGACCAAAATGGAGGGGCGAAACTGTAACTAATTATAGTGTTACAATTAACTTCATTTTATATGGAAATAACTGCCACAGTTACAATTAAAGCTTGAATGCCCTATGCAAATTTTATAGAATTATAGGCAACTTCATTTTATGAATTCGAAAGGGCATAAAAAGTGCTTGAAAGAGCTCCAAGTCCAGAATGCATCAAATCTGGATATGACATGAAATTTAATCATGTTATGACTTTTGGTAAGTAGACAATATGCCTATGGAACATAATGTACCTATCATACTCAATATTTTCTGTAGCAGACACGGAGAGATTATTTGCACTTTCTAGAGCCAACAAATATGCTACACCGACCTGTTGGGCAATTCACACATCACAAAAATTAATACTCTGTTTAGGACAATATCCTAACAGTTGGAAAGAGAGTAATAACTTCACTTCAATGCTCATGAGATTCCCAAAAGCACTATACCGGTTAAATAAGAACATAGAGGGTTTTGACTAATTCAAACACACAACTCTCTTGAATACATTATGGAGAGTGAATAAAATGACTGAAATAGACTTACTGCTGCTGAAGAGCTCAGACCTGAACTGTCAAGACCTCCAGAACCACATATAAAACCGGTGATACCCTGCAAAAAGTTACCATGATGATGATTGATGAAACAAAAGAAAATGAATGGAAAGAGAACTCTTTGTTGCATGCTACTATATAATATTATGGATAGATAAAAGGGAAATTAAGTAGAAGGATGAAGAGTTATTGCTGATTTATTTGCTTGGCTGATTTTATTCTTATTTGATTTTGATGCCTTCGTTAGTATATCTATTTTAGGAGTTATTTGCTAAGATTTCCTTTCCCTAGTTTTAGTCGTTCATATGCATGTAAGCACTATTATAAAAGGGAACTTTGATGTGCTAATAAAGTATCCAAGAAAGAATTAAGGAAGAAACTCAAGGAGAAAGAAAACTCCACAAATTCCAATGGAGAAGGAAAACTCCCTAAAATTCTATGACTCTCCCAGTTATCCTTTTAATCTACTCCCGTAATGCAAAGAAACCCGGCATATAACATTCTGGTTCCATTGACGGGGAACAAACCCGGGTCACAGGTGACAGGTGGAAATACTTGCCACTATTAATATAATTATGGAAAGACAATATATTGATGCATCTACAATATAATATTATGGAAAGATTAAAGGGAAACCAAGTTGAAGAATGAGGAATTGTTGCTGATATATATGTGTGTGTGTGTGTGTGTATTTGACTGATTTTATCCTGATTTGATTATTAAAGGGAGCTTTGTTGTGCTAATAAAATATCCGAGAAAGACTTCAGAAGAAAATCAAGAAGAGAAACTCCAAAAATTCCATGACCCTCCCGTTTATCCTTTTAATTCACCCCCGTGACATAAAGAAACTCGGCACATAACAATCTTGGTTCAGAATAATTATAGAAGCATGACATTAACATTTGACACTCTTACTCAGAAGCTAATTCAAATAATTAAACTACAGCTTAAAGGTGATATACGTAGAGTGGAAATATAAAAGGGTGGGTTTGGATCCTGGAAATTGCTAGGGAAGGCTGAAAGTGAAAGAAATGCTAAGTATGGTATGTTCTTATACTCCGTATTTTGTTTTACTTTGGGAAGTCCAAAGCAAAACACAATGTAATTAGTTTTAGCAAACTTTATACATATATTTATATTTCTTAGTCTGTATATAATAGGCATCATAAATAACATGAGAATTAAAATATCTATAGTTAGGATGTAGAGTTTTAGATATTGTTTGTCTCCCTCTTTCTTTATCTAATGCTTTTAACTCCGGTGTCATATGCCGATTCATGTTAGATGACCCCAAACTCTTTTGGGAATAAGACTTGAATGTTGTGGTTGTTGTATGGTTTGGAGTTTTCGTCATTCTTTTTATTCTCCCTCATATTTTCTTTCGTTCAAGTTTTCATATGTAGTCTATAATTTCCTTTCTACTAGTATTATCTTTCTCTGGCATTTTCAGATTAAATGGATCCAAAAATGTTGTTTTCATCTGTGATCATCTTTGATGTTTCAACGCTTTCCACACTGGAAGACCAATCGATTTATCTTAACCTGAATTAACTTGACTAAAAGTGAACATTTACAAAAACATCGCAATGAATCAAGCACTAATACCCTTCATATTTAAAAGTAAAGCTGTGTACTCAATCTTGATTATTTTGTAGCACTTTTTCACATTACCCAAAATACTATGAAATTTTTATTGCATACTATGAATTTCTAGATGAAGTCCTAAAGAAACTAAACACCGAACAGGATTAGTTTGTGACTGCTGATTTGTGAAGAGTTAAAACCCTGCAAATAACAATAATAGTATAATACATGAAAAAGATGCTTATAAATTTAAGCTTTAATAACCCTTCTTTTTCAATCATTTAGAGTTGGGTGTGGGAACATGGACGGAAAGGGAGTTCATTTTAGAGCATATTTCATAAACTTGATAACTTCTCATAATAAAAGATATAAAAGGATACTCTTCAAGTTAGTACAAACTCAATGACCTGTTCATTTATATATTACTAGGAATGCTAAAAAACATTGGTTTTATTAAAAAACAAAATCAAATGCGAAAAGCCATTACTACCTCCATCCCATTTTATGTGTCCTACTTTGGATTCACACAACTATTAATAGTGGTTGAAAAAGTAAAAGTTGTGGTTGAAAAAGTAAAAGTTGTGGTTGAAATTTGAGTATAATAAAGTAAAATGCTTTAGGCTACATATTTCTTTTCAAAAAGGGAAATGTGACACTTATTTTGGGACAAAAAGGAAAGTAGGACAGATAAAATGGGACGGGGGGTATAAAGATAGTTCAGGAATCAAGAAAACTTTTGCTTTTTGAGAATTGTGCTTGTTCAATAAAACTTTTCTTTTATATACACTTTAAAGTTTACACAGCACTTTCAGCCTTAATGTCAAACACTTCTGAATTTCAAAAGCACATTCCCACCACAATTCTCAAAATTACTTTCCAAAAAAGCTTTTTCAATGTGGAGCTTTATCCTACTGCATCCTTAATCCAGAATTAGGCCTAAGTCAAACAAAAAATGTACTCACACCTTTGTTAGATGGTTTCCGCTCTTTTGTAATGCATACAAAGCACCTCTGACGTAGTCTCCCCACTTGGCTTCTTCAATCTGTGGTTCATACAAATCCTTTGCAACACACAAACCCCTTGACTTAGCTATGTGAATGGGAAGCACAACCTCATCAACTCTGAAATTTTCAGATTCCACCAGCTTATGTCAAAATTGAAATTATACAGAAAATACTCTGTACTACTAAATCATTTTTGTCGTTGTTGTGAAATATAAGTAATTCTATATAGCTTTGCTGCCATTTAATTTGCACTAATTGATGAGTGCCACGCTTGGAAAATTTTCACGTGCGGGTCCCAACTATTTGTGCAAAACACATGGTGTCGCAGTGCCACCTACTCACCTAGGATTGTGTGGAAAACGCTTCTGAGCACATACATTGTAACATGTGAAAGTACTTCAAATGATACAGATTGATTTGTACTGCCACATATTACGGAGCAAATGTAGGATATGCAAAAAACCTATTATATCGGTTTGACCCTTTAGGCCATGTGAAACCCTGGCCACCCAAAGAAACTGTTACTCCGTACTAAAATAGGTACTAAAGTTTGTCAACGAGATACTAAGCATATAGGTCCACAGTATGTTACATCGGTTATTTTCTTGTTACTCTTGGCTATTCCTGTTCAGCAACTAACTTTTTACCAAAACACATTCAGACTTCAAAAATTAAAAACCTCAAACTTCCATACAATTGCATTGCCAAAAGATTGATTTGCATACACTTTAATATGAGGCGTGTGTTCTATATAAATTTACTCAAGAAGTAAAGCACCTGCATATGGCCCAATGTCTTACGGTTAGGGATAGACAAGCTAGACAAAAAATTAGCGAAACAGTATTTCCGATGCATGGATCAGGAACTTGTATATCATTTCAGTGGGTGGGAGACATGGTTATGGCCACAGTGAAGAAGGGGAAACCTAATCTCAGGAAGAAGGTCATGCCTTCTTTCGTCGTTCGCCAGCACAAACCTTTTCGCCAAAAGGACGGTGTATTGATGTATTTCGAAGATAGTGCTGGAGTCATTGTGAATCCAAAACGAGAAGTGAAAGGGAGTACCATTACAGCACCTATTGGAAAGGAATGTGCTGATCTTTGGCCTAGAATTGCCAGTGCTGCTAATGCTATCGTTTAGAGTAATTGTTTTGACGTGCTTTGAGCTTTTATTGTGTTTATTAAGATATTATGATTTTGAATGTTGCAGCTTTGCTTAAGCAATGTTCACTTTGCTATGATGTCAGAATTTTTGCAAAAATTTGAATTTGTGTTTACAGTCCTTGTTTTACCTTCTTTAGAAAAAATCTAACAATGCATGGTACCTGACTCTAACTTCACCTTTAAACTGTCCAGACTGTAGATAAACCTGAAAATGACAGTATTAGTTTACCATCAGATATGAAAAAACAGTATGAGGAATCGATTAACTGCAAAATGCTAGCTGAAAATTATATTTAATAGCAGGCATTCTGGAAAGAGAAAAATGTAAGATGAATAGCCTGTTAATATGTAAAATTTGTTGAAATGCATGTAGAACCTTTTAATATGTTGTTTCAATTAATAAAAAGTATAAAACTCATACCTGAGCATCGCTAGAGGGGACAAATCCAAGTAATATACCATGGTTGATTGTCATAGCTGTAACAGTTCCACCCTGAAACACATTACTCAACAAGAATCACTCTTTAGTTTCTCTTAATACAAGGACTCTGCAATCGTGATGACATTTTCTTAAATCAATTGGAAATAATCACAATGTGACAAGAAACATCAAAGAAATATACAATTCATTGTTACATGCAATGTAAGTAACTAAATCCATTTCATATGACTTCTAACGGACTATGTGATCCACCACTAGTTTGAACAAATTATTATAATCAAGAGAAGGATAACTGCATGTTCAAAACTAATTCACAGACCTGATGGTCGATGTGAGCTCCCAGTGGACAAATCCTATAAGGCGATACGGCAAACCTTACTTCCTCTCTATCTCTGCCCGACATTTCTACAACCTTTTGTCTTACTTTGTCCAACTGTCACATTACACAATGAGCGCAAATTTTAGAATATCACACATCATTTACATTGGTGTAGCGGGGGATAGTGGGGTGCAATCTGGGTCGTGGTGCACCCTAACTCAGTCAAAAACTTTCTTTTACATGTAAGCTTGTTTTTTGTATACATAGGAATGAAACACGTAAGCTTTGTTAATATAAGACTTATATGAATGGAATCTTTTTTCCCGTACCACCCCAAATTTAAATTTTGGGGAGCTTGGGCTTCACCAATGCTCTTTTTATCAGGTGTTGAGATAAGATAGAAACAAATCTTCACATTTCTGAAAGTTTGGTGAAGCAAATAAGGTATAGATTATGGGATGCATGAGTTGCTATGATAATACACTTCCAATATCCAAAATGATAAGTCTTAATCACAATGCATAGCACTCTGACGTTTAAAAAGCATAATTACATGCAGTCATGCAGAATCAGCACACTGTTCTACATCAAATCACTTTACCTCAAGTACATGGCTCATCCTCATCAAATACTACTTGGAGACTTGGGGTTGGAGAAATAAAATTCATAGCGTAAATGATATTGCTAAAAATGGAAAATATCATAAAACGGCTGTGAGTTATATAGTAGACTCCTAACACGAACTCCTTCCAAGAACACACATTTTAGCAAGAACACACATATTACTAACATTTTGAGTTCTCACCCAAAATTACCCATTTATGAAATTCAAAGTCTGCAAGATACAAGCACATGGTGCAGATATGCACTTGGAAACCCGATACTGAGTGGCATGCACAAAATGTAATGATGGCCCTTTTAAAAGGAATGAATGAATGAATAATCAGGATTCAGGGAGTGTGAGTATGTGGATCAAGAGAAATTACCATGGATTGAGAAGGCCAACGCCCATTGGATCCAACCATGATTGGGGAAATTTGCAGATATGGGTTTGAATCAATGAGGATAAAGAATGGATTGGAGAGGTTGAGGGAGGAGTGCGGTTATGAGGTAAATAGGTGGTGGTGGTCGGTAAGGTGTTGTGTTTCACGTCACTTGCTAAGAGTGGTTATTACTTATTACATGGCCATGCTCAGTGGCTGGCGACAATCTTTGTCGGGCCAGGTGACTATCGCCAGGCGAGGGTGTGACATACAACTCATATAAGGGGTGTTTGGAACAGACGTTACATTTGCTTGAAGCAAGGGAATCACAATAACATCACAATCACTTCTACACTTTTATCCAAACACTCTAATTTAAAACTGGTTTTTTGAAAATTTTAAAATTGATCATGTTTTCATCGATGTTTTTGGAAACACGCTAGGCACACAAGAGTTTGAAATTCAATGGAATGAGTTTCAGCCTCCTAATAATTCCAGACCCCCAACCCCCTCCCCCATACCCCTTGGAGTAAAAAAATTGCTATCTACACCTCTTTATAATACCCCCAATATTACCTTTGAGCTTTCATTTTTCATTTGTCCAAAAAATATTTTTCTTTCCTTTTTTGGCAAATAATTTATGATTCATAACATTTCTTACACATTATTACACATGTGTCTCACCTCCATGCAACTTTGTATCACACAATACGCATTATCTTAATTCACGTGCCACTTGTACTTCAGGAGATAAATTAGACCATTTGTAGTGGTTTGGGATTAGGGGTCAAAAGATTAAATGGAGAGTTTAGACTCTTATTTGTGTGTCGTGAGAGATTAAAAAGTGGAAAGGGAGTGGAGAAGTGTAAAAATAGAGTTTAGATTAAATGGAGAGTTTAGACTCTTATTTGTGTGTCGTAAGAGTTTAGACTCTTATTTGTGTGTCGTGAGAGTAAAAGTGGAAAGGGAGTGGAGAAGTGTAAAAATAGAGGGAGGGGTTGACAGCAAAAAATAAATGAAAAAGGAAAGAAAAATGGGATGAGTTGGTTCGTACGCTGGATGGTGCAGCCAAACCATGTGTTCGCTGAGATCATGGTGACATCATTTTTACACCAAATTGTTTTAAACTCTTGTAACTACTCCATATTTTATTTGTTCTCCAAATTTTTCAAAATATATATCAAAATTCATAAAATTTTATGATCTTTCATATGACACCAAAATTTTATGATCTTTTATAAAATACTATGATCTTTCATAGTATATAAAATGAAACAAAAATTCTTTAGTTTTAACTGTTGAAGTTTTCTTCTGTCTACAAAACGATGAAACACAAATTTTCAATTCATGGAATCTTCACAAATAACTGAATATTTCATAATCGAACTTTACTTGAACTAAGTTCATTTTTATTAACCGAAAACATTAAAAAATTAATGAAATTTATTTATTTTTACATCGAAATGTGTATTTTTTATTTTACAAATATTTAGGGAAAATATTAAATGGAAAAAATTACTTATAATAAATTAATTAATGTTTTACTAAATTGATATGTAAAAAAATATGTTGAGAGTATTTTATTAACAGTGCACGAATACAGGGAAAACAGTATTGACGGAGTCGAAACACTGTTTTTCATATGATTGGAGTCCAAATTTAACAATTTGGACTCCCAACCACTACAAATGATCTTAGGGACCGTTTGTTACTTCGTGTTAAGTCACAAAAATTACAAAACACTCCCTAAATTTTCACATACCTAAAAAAAGGATTCTATATAGGGATGACAATGGGGTGGGGTTGGGGCGAGAGTTTACCCCCCACCCCACGCCCTGTGTCTAAAAAATTGCCCCCACCCTCGCCCCAACCTCCGCCTCGACCCGCTAAACCCACGGGTACCCCAGCAGGGGAAATCGTCATAAAAAATTAACACTATTTAAGACTTGGACAGTTTTTCAAAAATCAAACAAGACTTCTAGCATGTAGCTAAAAATCCTTTTAGTTTTTAGGTGTCGATGAAATCTTACATCCAATTTCAAATCTAGAACACATTATACACATCTCGATTTAGTCATTTTATCAAACACTTTATTAGCATTGATTAGCTCTATATTATTTTCTTAAGCCCTTCATTGAATCAACCATGGTCATTTGACAACGCCTAGGACGACCTATGGACATCAGATTTTTAAGAGCTTTAACTACAATCATAAATATGACATTCATAAGGAAATAATTAATGCACTATAATAGTAAAAGAAGAAAACATTCACGTTGTGCTTTATGAATTTAAGCTAATATCACTAGTTTAGATAGGAAACAACTAAACTCATCGGACCATCATGCAATTTTAATTACTTCGTATTAACAATTACATATTTATGAATAAAATGAAGATTGTTTACAAAAATGACTAGAGTAGTAATAAAATTATAACAACTTATGTTCAATTTTTAAACTTAGATTACTATGCCACTACATTGTAGTAACTAATAGTCCTATTTGTGTAAAATATTTTTTATTTCAGTAATATTTTTATAAAAAAATCCTTATTATTAGTAGTATTACTATTAATGTGATTATTATTAATAATTATTAATGTATATATATACAGGGGACAGAGCGAGGACGATGTGGGGGTGATGAAATAATTTCCGATCCCTGTATCCGCCCCACCCCACAACCCGCCCCAATTCCTCCCCAAGGGGCGGTTCCCCACGGCCCCGCCCCATTGCCATACTTAATTCTATACCACACGTTTCCTATTGGGAGAACAACATAGATCCTATGATCTTATCGTTTGGAGGACCTAATTGATTTTTATTTTTGTTACATCCAAATTTCTGTTTGGCAATACATCAAGATGATCAACGGCTCAATGTCGACACTTTAGAAAAGTCAACAATATTGACGGCAGGTAACTCGCCACGTCTGTGTGTATATACTGATGATTTGAGTGATTGACGTTCCTGCTTCCTACTTTCCGGATTACATTTCCGGTCAACCAATCACCTGCCGCAGAGGTAGAGCGATCTTCTACAAAAACCCGTCCACATTCATCAGAAGCATTTCCCATTCAGCCATTCTACAATCCTATTTGTTTCGTCTTCCTTGAGCGAGGAGAAGGTGCTGTTTTCTTTCTTTTTTGTCCTCAGTCAATCATAACCGGATCCATGGCGGCGAAATCGTTCAAGTACGTGATCGTCGGTGGCGGGGTTGCTGCTGTAAGTATCTCTCGGCTCTCACAGTTTTATGAATAGATTGTTTGATCCACTGTATTGCTTTTTGTCATCAGATCTGTTTTTCTTTTAATTTCTGAAGTTGGCTTTGTTCGAATGTAGCTTAGTTTTTGGGTGCGACTGAGATGAAGTTCAATTCTGTATGATAGTATCAGATCCTAAAGTTGACGTGTTTGATTGTTTCTTCTCTAACTACGTGTTTTTACTGATCCAAGTAGCAGCAACATATTGTGCGCCTCATAATTACGCCATTGCGGAGTATATTTTTCTTGTCTTTGAGTAGGAAGCTCTCTTATACGCAGTCGGCAGTACCATTGATAAAAGATGAATCACAAACTCACAGCATTTTGAATCATATTAACGGGAAAACGTTTCTATTTCTTAAATATATCAACTTATTTCAGTTATTTGCTCCACGATTCCATCGTAATCCTTTTGCTGCTCGAGTTAAAAACTTTCAATCTGTCTTTCTTTTAAAACAAATACCTAATTTATTATTAAATGATAGCAAGGAACACATGAATGAATAGCCTAAGTCTACAAATCCCACGAATCCCACGAATCCTTCTAGATTAATGTAGTTTAGTGTAACAATCTTATTGTTCATGTTGCTACTCCAAAGAAAAACTAAAAAGTTACAAATAAAAAATCCAATTTCACTGGCCACCGGAAAGAGAGAATTGATTTAAATGGTAAGCAACAAATTAAATTGGACCAAATAGAAATTGACTGAACCATTGGTTTGACTAGTCACCGAAAGAGAATTCTAGATGAGCACTAACTTCCTCTCAGAGTGAAGCGTTGGTTGAAAAAGAGGGTGTGTAGTTGAAGCTTCAGAAGAACTAGGTTGAACCCGTCTTGCCAACCATGAAAAATGAAAATTTACCACTCGATTGATTACACTGATGTGGAACACACAACCTCTAGACGTTGTTAGGAGAAGATCAAATTTCATGCTCACTTGAAGCGGAAGTAACTCTCTGTCAAAGAATAAGTCAGACCAAATCCAGAACCCTAGAAGGTAGAAATAAAAAAAGAGCGGCAACATAGAAAAATCTGATATGGAAAGAAGAAGCTCATTATTACTATCATTATTCATTATTATTAATATTATTAGTTTCGTAAAGTAAGTTTCCTAAAGTATTGGGTGTTAGTTTCTAAATGTTATTATTACTTTCCTAAAGTAAGTTTCCTAAAGTATCAAGTGCTTGTTTCCTAAGGTTATTATTAGTCGCAGTATCCTATTAGTAGAGATATTCTATTTTAGTTGATTTTCTAATAAAAGCTAAAGGGTCAAATAGGCCCCTGTACCGGCCGTGTAAGCTCAATTCAGTCCCTGAACTAAAAAAAGGTTCAATTCACACCTCGAACCGACAAAAAATGGTTCAAATTTCAATTTTTACTGGTAAACAACCGGTCACTTTTTAATTTTTTAATTGTTTCTGTTTTTTATATTCGATTTATTGCAATTTTGACACTTTTTAATAGTTTAGGAGTGCGAATTGGACTTTTTTTACCGGTTGTTTAACCTTTAAAAATGAAATTTGAACCCTTTTTACTGGTTCAGGGTTTGAATTGAACATTTTTTTAGTTCAGGGACTGAATTGAGCTTATAGGACCGGTACAGGGACCTATTTAACCCTTTAGAATCAGGGTTACTCTAATACTAGACCACCAAGACTCTTGGGACTAGTGTAAGGGAGTGTTTGGATCAACACCTCGAACCGACAAAAAATGGTTCAAATTTCAATTTTTACTGGTAAACAACCGGTCACTTTTTAATTTTTTAATTGTTTCTGTTTTTTATATTCGATTTATTGCAATTTTGACACTTTTTAATAGTTTAGGAGTGCGAATTGGACCTTTTTTACCGGTTGTTTAACCTTTAAAAATGAAATTTGAACCCTTTTTACTGGTTCAGGGTTTGAATTGAACATTTTTTTAGTTCAGGGACTGAATTGAGCTTATAGGACCGGTACAGGGACCTATTTAACCCTTTAGAATCAGGGTTACTCTAATACTAGACCACCAAGACTCTTGGGACTAGTGTAAGGGAGTGTTTGGATCTGATTCTCAAAACTGCTTCTGCTCCTTTAAGGAGCAGAAACAGAAGTTGGAGTATTTGTGTGAAAGTGCAGAAGTACTTCCGGTACATTAATTTACTCCTAGAATCAGTTTTTTTAGAACCTGGGGAGACTAGCTTCTGAAAAACTGATTTTGATTCTGCTTTAAAAAAGAAGCAGAAGCAGATTCGGTTCCAAACACCCCCTAAATAGAGGTGCCAGGTTAATGAATAAAATAATCAATCTTCTGGAGAATAATTCTTCTTGTGCGCTCGGTGGAACCGACAGACACTTCCTTGGCTAGGGCGGGAAGTTGAGTTGTTTTTTATCTCCCAACCACGCCCGTAACAATTTGGTATTAGCATTCAGGATGATGAGGAACGATCACGTCACCACAAAGACACTCAAAACCTTCATGGTAGATATTAACCAGCGACAAGGATTGCTTGAAGCAAAAATTACAGATTTCGTGACATCTTTTACCACACAGCTTGCTGCACTGACTAATAAATCTGCAGGTCCACACACCGACTCCAACAACAACCTCTCTGAACCCAAGGGTGAGAAGAAGGAGTTTGAGGAACACCATCATCGAAACCGTAGTGCGAATAGCATTGTGCCTCGTTATTCCAAACTCAATTTTCATAGTTGTTCTATGAGGATATGTTACGAGGTTTCGTCACCAGAATATGAATTATCCCAACTTCAACAAATAGGTATTCTAGATGAGTATATCGATTGACACTGGTAAATTCAACTCACCACACAGCAGTTCAAGAGGAAAATTCACAAGAACAAGGTAAGAGAGTTTATTGAATAACGAAAGAGAACAGATCGTATACAAGCATTGGACGATTCGAGATGTCCAGCTTCCAAGCCTAGCCAAATTCAACTGAATATTTGCCTACCTCATTTGCCTAGCCTTCCTTTCTATTTATAGTACAAGCCCCTTATTATTATCTAATTAACAGGCCCACTTATTATATCTAATACTAGGCCCATTCCTATCACTACCCCCCCTAAACAATCACCTTGTCCTCAAGGTGGGTGATAGGAATTAGCCATGATCTTCCACTTCCACTTCATTCTGGCACCTCTCCCTTCCAATACATCCCAGATTGCTTGGTCATGACCTTCATTACTTGACCTTTCAACGTCACTTCATTACTTGACCTTTCAACGTCACTTCTTTCACAGCAAACAGGAGCAGAAACTGGAGATGAAAACTCCCTGGAATTATATTGTCAAAGATAATACTTCTTTCACCCCTTTCTGCAGTGTTCCTATCCCCCTCACCACTTTGACCAAGCTTCTGACATGAAATTGAATGAGGTCCTACATGTTTTACATGATAACCAAACCGTGAAGCCTCTTCATTGTAATCACTATCATCATATAAAGGTTCTGCCAGATAAAATCCAGCTGCCATTGTAATAACTTCAGCTGCGGATTTATGACAATTCAGCTCATGCACTCCTGGAGATTCCACATATAGCCATATAGGTGTTGAGATTCCTCTTTTATTTCAAATTTCACAAGATACCCATCTGTTGCTGTTTCCATCATTTGCAATGGAGCCAAAGATTCATTATTTTTTGGCTTGAGATTATGATGGAATAAAGCAAAATGGCTCACTAAACTGTCTGCGCTTCTTTGTTATGAAGCATCAGTCAGTCCATGCAATTTTGGACGGGATTTTCACTATGGGTCATCCGGAAACAGTCTCTGTGCTTTAGTACAGGGGTAAGACTGCGTACATCCGACCCCCCTTACCCCACCGTAGGTGGGAGCCTTTGCGGCACTGGGGTAAATGAAAATGATGACCCATCTGTTGCTGCAAGTACAATATCCACTTTATGATTATATATAAACTATTTTATCCCTGTACCCTTTTTGCACAATTGGTAATCCTGTAAGATAGTTGGTCCCAACATTGATATTGGCAAATTTTTTATCCCAGTCCCATCTATCCTCCTCAAAAAGTATTCCTAAAGAATTTCTGACTACATCCTTTTCTTTTCCAGGAATGACTTTTGTAAACACGAATTCACTGCTCTCATTTGTCAAATGATTTATTTTCCTATTATCCTTGTGTTCTCCTTCTATTAGTACGAGAGTCAGAGGAGCAAAAGAACTTGGAACCTTTCCTACCAGTCCAACAAGCACAGGAATAGAAACCTGAACAATAGATGATTGTTCCTCACGTTCGTCGTCCTGGTTTAGTTTCTTGATTACAGATTCCGCTCCATTGGCCACTGAAATTTGCTCCTCTAGTTCTTCTTCCGGATTTGTTTCCTTGATTACAAATTCTGCTTGCTTCAACTTGGAAGAGAAGACGTGTGCAGGGTTAGAAATTTCTTGTGACAAAAATGGCGAACAAGAAAATTCTTCTCTGGATAGCATGACATTCTGACGCGAGTGAAGAGCAGACGGGAACGCCTGTGAACTGAGATGAGCTGTTGCAGATGACTCCAAACTGAAAGAAGTTCTTGGCGAAGATTCATGGCTTTTTGTCTTCCGCCTACTTGTCGGTTGGAAACGCCGCGTTATGGCTTCCTTCATAGCCTCCCAACTCTTCTCTCTCGTTTGAGTCTCCCACCATTGAAACCACTCAAACGCCCTATCTTCCATAGCTTCTGCTGCGACTTTTACCTTACCTTTTTCTGTAGTAGTATTGAGAGTGAAATATCTTTCCATCCTATCCATCCATCCATAAGCATCACCACCATTGAAAAAAGGTAATTCCATCTGTCCATAAGCGTCAAAGCATCCCAATACATCTCCTTTCTGTCTGCGATGTAGAGTGCTATGTGAATTGTGCGAAGAATCTAGTGCGCTTAGCGATGATCGTTGCGAACTAATAGAAGCCTTTAACGATTTCAAAGCAGAAGAAACAGTCCGCGACTCTTTCTGCGAACTGGT